AAAGAAAAAGCAAAGTTTAACTTCTTAAACGTGAAATAAAGGCATAATAACTGCTACTTGCTCTGGTTTTCTTTTCAGAGTCTACAACTAGGCTACGTAAAAATATAATTTAATACAAGTTTAATGGCCAAGTGAGGCCATTATGAGGATTTTGTTTTGATGAAATGTTCCCAACATTAAACATGCACAGTGTACAATGTAATAGGCTACATTATCAAATGAAATGTACATAATGTATTTAAACACAGCTTCAGATGAATCATGCATTGTCCGTCTTTCAAGAATGTCTTCCCCCTCAGTTTTCAACACGCCACGAAAAGTGACAGGTAGCTGTGATTAGCGCCATGCCCACTCTACCTATGCCAAGGGTTCGAGCTCAGAGAAGACCTCCGACGAGCGCGTTCATGAGCAACCTACACGTCCACGTTTGGCAGCTCCACGTCGACATTCCTTTAGAGAGAGAGAGAGAGAGAGAGAGAGAGAGAGAGAGAGATATTAAGCGTGTGAATCACCTGAGTCTGTGTCTCTCAGCAGTGTTTGGCAGCAGCGTCTCTAGTAACAGCAAAACTATAAGTTAATCTGCTTCAAGAACAGCGCTCGCTTGTGACAAATGATATGTAGATTTTAAGTTGCTAAACAAATAATAATTTATAAATAATGAAATAATTTGTCATTTGTATCTTGTTGGTTACTATATTTATTTGCTTGGTCAGTGTATTTGTGGGTTTTGGTTCTTTTGCACTTATAGGCTGTAAGGACCCTTGAAATAACAGAAATCGTTAGGCGAAGTGATATGCAATGCGGACGAGAGAGAGGGTCCAGCAATGCATTCAGTCTGCTTCGAGAGAGAGAGGGTCCAGCAATGCATTCAGTCTGCTTCAGCCAGGAGAGCCACCGGTCAGCCGTGAGGTAAGCAGACACTTTACAGTCCAGAATGAAACTTTCATTAGTGGCTTTGGCCTCTAGTTTATGTTTTTGGAGGTGATGCATTAAACTCAGAAAAGCGTGCGCACTAAATTATACAGCTTTAGGCAGTTCTTAAAGTGATGCCAAGGTTGAACTGTTTAACAGAGTAATTTGAGAAGTTTTGGATACAAAACATGAGCAGAGAACCTGTGCAAAAACATGGATAACTGTTGTTTTAAACAACAGCTCTCAGCTCTTTACAGATTCACATGTAGGCTAGTATGTACTACATTGTTGATTCTTAAATATGCTTCTGAAAACGGAATTGGTGAATTGTTATAGCCTACATTAGGAGGAAAAGGTATATGTGTATGTTTTGATATATTGCACATATATACTTTTTTTTTTCTTGTTTCAACATGCCAAAATAAACCTTTGCGGGTTGTATAAAATAAGACCTCCATTACAGACTGTGTCAAATTAGGATTCTCCTAAATATTGTTGCAACAGTTTGAAGTTAATGCATGGAGACACGTCAGCTCATTCTAGAGAGTGGGCATAAATTCTAACATGTGTTTTACTTCCCAGGAACCTCAGGAGCTGATTGGTCCTCAGTGGGTAACCTTCTCAAGGCAACTGCCAGCAAACTGACTGAAGCCCAAATGATTGCAGTAAATGTTTGATACATTTTAAAGACAAATCTAGAATTCAAAAAGACTTATAGGCTTCATCTTCCAAAGTTGCATACCCACACAAATTAGTATGAACATATGGACACACTTCTACAGAGAAACACACACATTCAACCATGGCTCCTCGGGGAAAGTTCTGTGGTCCACTCTGGCTGTGTGAGTGTGTGGTCAGTGCATTACAGAACTTTGCTTTAGAAGCTCCACCCAACAAATCTCTATTGATCCCCGAGAAAATAAAGGCTTGGTTTTACGAGTTTCATGACTGGTTTAAGTGTATACTTTAACATAGATTAATATGCTTTTTTGTTAACATAGTTTTCAGTATTTCAGATGTTGACATCAAATTGACTTTTTAACTGAATCCTTCCTAATTTAGAAATTATACAAAAATATTAACAGCTTAAAGAACAGTATACCACAAAAGACATGCAGTCAACAATGAATGATATGTATTTATGATGATATCATCATAATTCAAATTACTGCCATGGTTAACAGCTTGCAGATTTGGGAACTTATTAAATCTTAAAAGTGTTTTGTTTTTCTTATTTACACTGTCAAGCATATTTCACAAGTGTGAAAGTATACAATTTTGTTTTCTTGGCTTGTAATATTCTGTTGGAACTCAAAATGGTTTATATTACTAAGTGTTCATGGAACTAAAATGGTTTACATAAATGTATATTTTGCGAACGCCAAGCAGTCAGTCTCACAAGTATATACTGTCATTTGGTGAATTCATGGCACATAATGTATATAAAGAGGCTAACTTCTCACAGTTTTTAAGTGTATTGCATTAGAGAGACTAATCTGCTGACTATTCTGAATGTTATCCTTGAAGCCCATAAGCAAAATAAAGTGTTGCAGTTGTTAAGTTGTTAAAAAGTAAAAATATTTCATGTAGTCTCTTAATTAACAAAGAATAATAACATCTTTATTAGCCAATCTACATGCGAGTTTTGTAACTGTAACTCTTCTATTTTTCCACCTGCATTTTTTATGGCGGTTAACATTTACAGTTTTACACAAGAAAGAAAGAAAGAAAATGAAATATAGCTGACTGCTGCTCTCTAGTGTAGTTCTGTGGCAGCACCGTCCTCTGATCCCTCCCAGCTCATGTCTTATTCATATTCCTTATCTCAGTTCCTGTATCAGACACATTCACCTTGAGAATGTTGATGTAACCAGAGGCGGACAAAGTACTCAACTCCATTACTTGAGTGAAAGTACGGATACTGCTGGTCAAATATTACTCCATTACAAGTAAAAGTTGTAAAGACAGATTGTTACTTAAGTAAAAGTACAGAAGTACTTGCTTTTAAAAGTACTTAAGTACCAAAAATAAATTTCCTTTTTTATTTCAATGCACTGTTTTATTGTTGTAAGTAATACTTGCAATACTTCTGAAGCAACTTAGAATACATTACACCTACTGAATACACTGACTAGCTTGTAGTATATTTGGAATAAAGAGCTTTTAGAATGTTAAAAACCTATGGGGGGGGTAGTATGGAAGTGATCTCACACAGTTCTGACAGTGTGTGCACACATCTATGTGTAGCCATTCATCCACATTTGAACAGAGTGGACAGTGAAATCCTGTAAATACAGACTGATAAGGAAGAAAAAAAAATCAAACCTGCTTTAAAACCCAGCAACACAACTGTAGCTGTACAACTTTACAACAGCAACACTGCTTTAACAAAAAAGCAAAACAGCAAGACTTATTTAAGTAAATGTACTTAGTTACTGTCCGGCTCTGGATGTAACTGACACAAAAGGGATAATAAATGTTTGCTTTATATGTTTATTACACTATTACACACACATTCATTAGACTATCCCTGTGTCCACAGCCTGCTCATAGATCGTATGTCAAACAAGAGAAGTGAAACGATGCTGTTGTGACCCAACACTTGCTCCATCTTCGATATACAAGATCTGGCAGGGGTCCTCTCAATGACAAACACAGACGGGCAGTGTACTTGCTCTATTTATGTCAAAGGCATAAATCAACAAGACATTCTAGTCGTAAAGCTTTAAATAAACAGGATTTAACAAATATATCCATATTAAATGTCACAGCATCGAAATTACATCTACCATAAACAAAAATGTTAATATATTTCATTGGCATATTGTAAAGCCATGGATTTCCAAATGTTTATTCAAACAACATTAATACAGAATATAGACAAATTTTAGACATCATGTCTTACGTGTTTTAACAAACATGCATGTTGATTTTGCAACCTTTACGTTCAATTAAAAAAAGTGTTACAAAATGTCGTTGCGTAACTTTCGGTGTGCTGTAGGTGGCGGCAATTTCACTTGAAATGACACTGCTAATGACATTGAAACCGTTGCCGTTTTAATGACTCAGGCAAGTTTGTTACATTTCTGTAATCTTCCAAATATATTAGGAACTTTCACATAAAAGTTTTGTAGACTTTTGTAGACTAGGCCGATGGTTAGGCTGGATCTGACCAGCGGTGCACTTTCTGAGGGATCTCTGTTCGGACTTTGCTCTCTGATGTGTACTGCACGTATCTAAGTTTAATGATCAAGTTCAATCAAAGCTGAGGCTGATAAGGTCTGTTAGGCCAGAGTCGCTACGCAATTACTTTATATAAGATCTTCCAAACTTTACCGATAACACGGTAACTTTTGTCTGAGATTTACTGGTGAAGCTATACCTTGTTGACCTTTGAACCCAGGTCACATATGACAATTAACCAACCAGTACAAGCTAAAGATGAAATCAAGTGTCTGTGCTTATATCCATGAATGATAGTTCTCAAGAATGATAGTAAATCCGTAATTTGGATGGAATGAATCTGAAAAACAGAGCACATAAAGCAATCTGAGTGCACTTTAGTGGTATTAAATTTGCAGTAATATCATTTTGTGCAATAATAATGTTATAATAACGTTATAATTAATCACTTATGGCAGCGCAACAGAATTTCCTGACATGAAAGCTTCAATATTGGTTGGAGGAACAATGCTTCCATTATCTCTCAGCCAAGAGCACCATTTATACTGAACTATGGTCATGATTTAAAAAAAGAGAAAAAAAAAAAAGTACAACCTCCCTCAGCAGGAAAAGCAATTTCTAGGAAAATTCCAGGCAAATCATCATGAAAATATTCTTACTGCATCTTTTAACCAGAAAATTGTCAGAATTTCTCAGAGGAAGAAGAGAATACCTCATGCTGTATACACTGTATTTAAAGGTCTCAAGTACATTGTCATCCGACTTCTCCTAAAGGGTCTGCTTGGTACATTGAGAACTGAAAGTCAAAAGGTAAAACTGAAGAAATTGTGAGCTATCACTAAAGTGCACAAACAGAAACATCAGCAGGCAAATGCATTTGAACATGAATAGACATGACAAAAATGCAGTTTTCACCGTTTTATTTGACAGATCAAATCCATCTGATACAATTAGTCACCAATAAGCATGCTGCTTGTTCAGTCACTCATTGTGATCCAAATACTTTTAAGGGTTCAGTACAATTTAATAATTTAATGTACAACAGCTCTTGTGAAACCAGGGGACACAGATTTCATTCACTAAGTGGATACACTGGGGATCTTCAGTAACTCGGACTCATTTTTAAATTACTTGGATAAACGAAGAAGTGGAAATCTTCCCTGCTAAAATTAACTGGCATTAGATGCATGCCACATGTTGTAATGAATAATCCTGGCCACTTGATCTGTCACATAATTTGAATAGATACCGTTAAAGACATTCAAAGCCAAACAACAAACAATTAATTTAAATATTGCAGTCTCCTCGCTCTCCCAACTGTATTATGATGTGGCTGACTTTAAGTATGCAATAAGGTCTGCCCTCTCGCCCTTCTTCTTGATCCCAGCAAAGATCATCTTTGTGCCTGGAATGTACTTCTTGGGATTCTCCAAATATTCCATCAAGGTGTCTTCACTCCAGACAATGCCTGTAAAGAGAAAGATTTGTTAAATATTGTCATTACATCATATTGTGAACAGCAAACAAACTGTAACATCATCAGTAAGCCTTACCTTTGCTCTTATTGGCATCTGTGTAGGAATATCCCACTGCCTGACCGGTCTTGCGTCCAAAAAGACCCCAAAGATTTGGCCCCACTTTGTGCTTGCCTCCGTTTTCAACTGTGTGGCACTGGGCGCACTTCTGGATGAAAACCTTCTTTCCCTTATCAACGTCACCCATATTTACCTAGAAGTAAAGGAGAGGTGAAAACACTGCAGAAAGGCATTTGAAGGGTGCGCGGTTTAAAGCACAGCGGACAGATCGTCAGAAGGTCATTCAAGGATGGAGCATCTACATGCTTAACCAATAAGCTTCAAGACATAAATCGACCAAATCAAGGTCTAAGATAGCTTATAAGGTCAGTTCACCACCAATAGAGAAGTAAAGCATCGTTTCTTGGTTCCTAGGTAGATGGATTATGTTTCCCATGACATCCAATCTCTGCAAACTCGTATCTGTAAACATCTCGGCATTATGATGTTCATCCGAGAATAACCTTAAATCGCCTTCATTAAAAGAAGCCTTAATCACTTAAGTATAGCTCGTTAGCCATCCGCCTGTGAGAACTAGCTTACCATTAATGAGAAGCCAGATCGGAGTTCGTGTGACAAAATCCCAAATTAACTTCTCAAATGACTCTCAGATAAGCTATACATTTCTGAAGAACACAGCCGAAATCGTAAACCGGCGTCAGATCCAAGTTGTGGACATCTGGCTAGCTTCCCATAACATTCCCACGCACATTTCCCATTAATTACTGAATGTTTATTACGGCTCAATTACCAAAAACGAGCCTTCCTGCTGTTACAATTACAAAAATACAGAGATTGTTCTTAAACCCTATACATTCCTTCTTTGCCATACAATTGTTCTTGAAGAGTAACGTTACCGGTAAGCTTACACGACCTTACACCACCCTTCCTCAGAACCGCTTCAAAATCCTCCATTTCGTTTAAATGCCACGATCTGCGATCATCAACGCGGCGGACGCGATCGGTTTAATGGGGCTGATAATAGTACCTTTCAGGCCGTGTCAGGAAGCTCCTTATCTTGCGAATGCGGTACTCTGTTCGTGCCGGTCGACGGACCGATTCTGTATCGGGGCAAAAAAGAAAGGTCACTTCATTTTAGAGGCGCGAGAGGGCTCCTGTATTTGACGTCACAATCATGCGCTGAGTGAGCCGTCACGTGTCTCTTCCCGACGAATCTGGTCGCGCTCCCGCAGCTGTTATCCTGAAGATCCATCTATGGAGTTGTGACGGGCAGTGCCTTTAAAGAGATAATCGGTTGACATGTAAATGAAAGGGGTGGAGAAAACATGGCTTCTCGTCAAACTTACATTGTCAATAAAATAACTATTATTTCCTACTTATTCTCAGAAAATATTTTATTTTATACTGATTTTTTAAACGTCCAATATAATACAATATAACGATTCATTAATTAATGAGAAACTATCTAAATTCGTTGAAAGGTGTGGTTACCCTGATAACAAGATTAATGAGCGCTTTTTATAGCAGCATACAGAATACTGTTAATTAACAAATTATATTTATGTTACGCATTGAAACAAGCCTCAAAGGTAGGCATTACTCAAGCACACCTGTAACCTTTTGTTATACTTTTGAATGTTAATTTTTCAGCATATACAATTAATAATAATTTAAAAAAATATTAAAAAAAGACTCAAGCACACCATACGCGCCCTTTCTGTACACGTATATAATGTGACTCTGACTTTGCGTCACATGAGCGTTTGTCTGCGTGACAGGAGTTTCATTACATTGCAGCACGTATCCAGTCACACGATTCTTGTTCGCGGGAAAATGAGCACGAGAGGTGTCCAGAAGACTCGATTTTCAAGTTATCTGGGGTTTCCCCGTCAACACCTGAAGCCGACAGGTGACTCACAAACGAGAGCTTATAATTACGGTGGTTGCTTTACACTCACGTGACTGAGAGGAATGACAATGACCGGTCTTGCACAATATATCATAACTGTACAACATCTCGTAAACAAAGCTTCTTGAAAACGTGCCTGCTTTTCAAATGAAAATACACATCTGTGTAGTTTTACAAAACAGATCCTCGCCTGCCACACAACTTCTGGTAAAACGACCTACTAACATTCCAAATTACCTTTATTTGATTTGTTTTAAACTCAGATATTCTATACTCAGTCTGTTTCTGGCAATTCCCTAAATTCCTTTGATCTTCCTGTCCCCACTGCAGTCTGATGACAGTCAGCTTATTGTGTATAATTCATCCCTTTTAATTTTATTGACCTTTTTGACCTTGTAATGTTCAATCAAAATGTCATAACTGGACCTTTCATGTGAAAACGGCAGACTTCTATGTTACAGCCCCAACGTAACCTACAGAACACGCCTGATTTGTCATTGTGACTGACTAACAAGTTAAGACTGCTCTGAGCTAGTATCAGAGGTGTTCCTGATGTGATGTGACTTTGGTTGTATGCAGTATGGGAAATAACACTTGTCATAAGCTAAATGTGATATTAAAAAAAAATAAATCTTAAAGGGGTCATATGATGCTTTTTTAAAGATCATTATTTTGTGTATTTGGTGTAACAGAATATGTTGACATGCTTTAATGTTCAAAAAACACATTATTTTTCAAATACTGTACATTATTGTAGGTCCTCTATGCCCCGCCTCTCTCAAACGCTTCGTTTTCTACAAAGTCCCTCCTTCCGACAAGCGCAGTCTGCTCTGATTGGCCAGCTGACCCAGTGCATTGTGATTGGCCGAACACCGCAAGCACTCGTCGGAAATGTAACTCCCCTTACCATAATCGTGAGCTTCAGCTAAGGAAAACTTGAAATCGCATCATATGACCCCTTTAATTGCCTATATTGTTTTTATATTTTTATTTATTTATTTGCAGTATATTGTTTTATATAGCCTTCTAATTGAGGAAAGACACTCAATTTAGTTGTGCTTAACACAAACACAAACAAGCTCCAGCATTTTAAAGTTGCCATTTAGATGCAATTGAATTTAGAATGCTGGGATACATTCATACCAAAAACACCAAAAGGCCCTCGTGAAAAATAAGCACACTTATTCATACATTTAAAAAGAGTACTTTTACGAAATAATATAATTTAAAAGAATATACTTAAATGTAATGTTTTTGGACACTTCAATTTATGCCATTTACAATGAAAAGAAAGTGTTTTATAGTTTAAATTTGTTACAGGCAATTAGTTGAATTTAAGAATGTACTGACAAACATTTATTGTACACTAAAAAAATACTTAAATGTCATTTCTATTGAAACGTGTATGCAATGTATTGAAATATATTTGTAAATACACATTAGTGTATTTAAAAATAATACCTTTAAATCTAATACCAAATGACACAGTTCAAATTATAATCAAGTACTTTACATGTGCTTTAGTATTTTAGTAAACACTTCAAAATAAGTATTCTTTAATGCATGACAAAAGATTAAAACATTAAAATGTACTTTAAAGTTAAACTTACTTTGAACTTGAACTGAAGTATGTTAAAAAAAAAACAGTCATGAATTTGCTCTCTCTTTAAACACATTTAAGTGGCCTTTTATTTGATTATTATTACATTTTCTGCATGTACAGATGAACACACTGACCCAACACAAACCAAAAGGAAAGCCATGAAATGCAATACCCAACCTGAAAAATTAAAATGGTTTAAAACTCTACTAACGCCATTATTCCCCTCAACTAAACTCACACAAATGCTATCCCAGATCTTTGCTCCGATCCTTTACTTTGAACTGCTACAGCACTGCAAGCCTCAGAATTCAATTCAATGCTGCCCTTCAAGGCAACAAACCAATTGTGGACTGTTCCGATAGCAACGGACAAAAATCCTTGCTTTTGAAGCCATGTTCTTTTTCATATTCAGCACGTTGTCTCTCCTAACTAGCCGTCATTACAGGGTTATCACCTCTACTGTTGGCCAGTTCATAAATAGCTCTAGGGAGACCTAATGTAATATCAGTCTATTAATAAAACAACATCTGAGATCTAGGTGTTGATTCTGTTCTCAAAGACTGTGAAAGAAAGGCTGTGAGAAGCGCTGTGAATGTATGTTCTCGCATGACCTTTTGGTATTTAGCCTATAAACCAATACAATTTTTGTCCATATTTTTTTTCTGTCCTCAAGATTAAAAAAGGCTTAAAAACTTCCCACATTGTTTAAAATATGAATGTTAGGTTTTACATAATTACAAGTTTTGCTCTCAGGCTCAAGAAACTCCTACTGTAGATTTGGGTGACTGCGTCCTTCCCATATTATTCCCTAGTGTTCCTTGCTGCACTTCCTCTACCTCCAACACATTTTATTGTTTCCTGTGCTGTCCCTTCCTCTCAAATGTTGCTGACATCTGCTGCTCAAATGTAGAACTGTATCGTAATATGCTCAAATGGTTGCCAGCGTCAAAATTATTTTATGCAAGAGTGCGCTCTAGTGGCTAAATGGTGGAACTGCGGCAAAGAGTGTAATGACATAATGGCTTGATTCAAAGTTTTTTTTTTAAAGCAACAGTTATATTTGCAACTTATATGTTTCATTAAGTAATAGATTATTCTTTCTTTCTCTCTTTATTTTTTGCAGTGCCTAGTTTAATGCTTTGAATGTCAGAGCTAAAAATAGTCACTTGTGTAGGGTCCTGTGCTACCGTCAGCCAATCAGCACGCAGTCATGTCCAGTGTTCGAATTGACTGGGGGCTGGGGGGGTTCCCGGCCGGACCTCCCATAAGCATTAAGGGCATTAAGCATCCCCTGGTTTTTCAATAAAAGTTTTGATTGCTGTATTAAATTTAGACCTGCTCATGTTACATCATATTTTATTTGTAAGCGTTTTTACAGCGTTGCTCATTATAACCAATCACACACGATTCTGTTGAGCTTAGGAATGCAGTAGCCAATCAGAGGCGTTCAGATTAGTCATTGCTGAAACCCCAGAGTTTTGTTCAGACTGAAACTTGTGAATTCCCTCATCATAAGCAACAAAGTGCCGATGTATGTACGATGCAAGTTAGAGATTCATTTATCATACCGTGTATGGACAGCTTCATTGATTATAAGAGGAGTTATGAGTGCTTAAACACTAGCTAGACTGAATGCTCATTTAGAGTGTGTTCTTTCACTGCATGATTCAGTATAATAAAATGCATTTAGAATGCTCCCAAAATTCAACATATGGGAGCAGAAAATGTATATATTTATATAATTTCATATAGTTGATCAATATCACACGAAGAGTGCCATTTTTTTCTCAAAAATCACAAATGTGATATTTATTTTATACAACAATTAAATAAATAAGAAGTTAATATTAAGAGACTAACGTTTTAGACACCATATTACCTATTTTTGCTCTATTTCGCCAACAAAAATGGTTCCAAACAAAGCCACAGCACTGTTTTGCTTCTCTGAAAAACATGAATGAATCAACCGTTTGAATGATTCGGTTCAATCGCAATGACTCACTCATTAACAGTGACTTGCTGCCACCTACTGGCGGTTTTAATTTCACATTTTAAAGTACCTTTTTATATATATATATTTAAGTCATTTTAAATATCAGTTTTCAACGTTTTAAGATTAAAATATCAAAACATTATTTCTGCATTTATAACTACAGGTTAAAGCATTCATGCCTTGCATCAAGCAGTGTGTATATGCATCTAAATGCCTCTTCAGATGCAGCTTCTGTGTTTCCTCTGCATTGCATGAATTTTGTTGATAATTGATGATTTTATTTGTTTGGTAACTGCCCCAAATGTCTTAAACCGTTTGAATGATTCGGTTCAATCGCAATGACTCACTCATTAACAGTGACTTGCTGCCACCTACTGGCGGTTTTAATTTCACATTTTAAAGTACCTTTTTTTAAAATATATTTTTAAAAATCATTTCAAATATCAGTATTAGGGGGACCCCCCAAGAGCTTTGACACAATTCCAAAACTGGTCATCTCAGCATTATCATGTCATTTTCCTGCAAATCTACAGTGATTAGTCACATGGCATTAACAATTTTGCTTAAAAAAACAGTATGCCCATGAGCAAAGATACAATATTTAAAATTTTCCACTTGTTTAAAAGTGCCGGCGTAGTCTTGTTGAAGTTACTTGGGGTTAAAGTATTA